ATGATGTAAATCATACCAGGATTATACCGGCGATTTTGAGTATGATGTACCACACATAATGGCCTAAATAGTGGTACAAATAGAGATCAACACTATCTTCGTGACGAGACCATAACAGACACATACGCACAAATGTATATACACGACGGTCCCCGCACTCGGACGGAAAAAGAGAATGTACTCAACTACATGAGCAGATGCATACACAAGCGTTTGTGCTTCACTATCCAGTGCCACCTGATTTGATGTATTCGCGAGTGTTTGTACTCTACCATCCGGCCAACGATATATACATATATAGTGGTATAGGAGCCGAAAGCGAGGTCTGTACTATAACCCAAAGTATGTGATCTAGCCATGGAAAACAATCAGCAACTAGAAGAACGCAGATTCTAGTTTGAAGCTAAAATGTTCACTTGCAACCGCTCGTAGAAAGACGAACACGTTCCATGCGGTAGGCAATCGGATATGGGAGCTGGCTGTGCTTGCAAAGAGCCATAAACAACTAATAGTTCTTCGACAACAGCAGCTACGTGCTGTCAAGTAAATATCTTTGGCAGGACCTTCTTTCTCTCCTCTGCTGACTCGAAATAAAGTTGAAGGTTTATTGTATTCATATAACCCCGGTGTATGCTTCGCACAACCATATGAAAGACTTTCGATGCGGAAGACTTTCACAGGCTACGCCTTCACCATCAACCGGTTTTGCTCCTATCTCGTGCATAATTTACCTACTAACTATTTCTCGTGGGTTTGTATAAGATAGTTTGGTAGCACGACATTCTTGTCTCGGTGTACACACGCAGTGCGATCTATCATTCGTGACACGAGTGTCAATCGCCAGAAGTAAGCCTGGATGCAATAGTAATGTTGGTGCTAGAGAATGGATGCTATATATATGCCTGGTGCAATAGATATGTTGGTGCGAGAGAGTGATTGCTACATACATGCCTGTAAGATGGGGAACTGAGGTTTCTATAGGCCGAAAGTACTTCCTTATTGTGTCAACGTACATTTTTACACACGTGTGCGTTTTCGAAATTACCATTCTGGAATTAACCATAACACCAACGTTTCGGTCCGATGCTGTATTAAACATATAACGCCATTCGGCTCACATACACATGCACAAGATTCGTGGGTATTTGTGAGTACTTTTTAGAACATGGCTTGTGACTCAGATGCTCGATCAAATAATGTTATATCGTCATACATTGCGTGGCTGGAGTAAAAGCATTACAAGTACAAACTCTGTGATTTTGGTCCTGGTTTAAAATAAAAACAAAGAATGTTGAAAGTACATTAATATACATTCAGTCCAAAACATTAAAGTTGGCAGCAAAATGGGATTTTATTGTGAGTGCTATTCGTCCACTTGATAGCCAGAAGGAGACACGTTGCAATCCACACGCAGCACAAAGTGCTGGTACGGGTTGGCTGGTTCGCAGTCGTATAGTGAGTACTTGTCCGGTGTCTGCTGGTTACCGGCGTATTGTTGATTAGATGCTTGGAGACACTTGCCAGAAACATCATCCTTGATTAGCACCACCTCTTGCTTAATATAAGCGTCCACATCAATAGTCTCCCATATTGCATTGCTCGCAGAGCAGTCGCCAAGGTCTGTGCTATCATCACCGAGAACTGCCTGACGCTCTCCAGTAAAATCAAGGCTGCCATCCAACAACATTACACAATGGTCGGTGATAACTAGGTCTTGGTCAAGAGCCACGAACTGATTATCGTAATCAGGATGCCAAGCGAATTTCTGTTGTGATTCGCAATTAATGTCTTCGTACATTATGTCACCAGACTTGTATACTTGAAGTGCAACTTGGCTGTCGTTCTGGATAATCATCCATGGCAGTTCGCCCAGCCACGAAGGACGATATAGTGAATACTGGGTGGTCTGTATTGCAATCTGAAACATCAGGAGTCACTGTTTCGGACTTGTCGGTGGCCACTTCCAAGTCACATTGAACTTCGAGCACAAACCGCTGATATGGGTTGTTAGGTTCGCAATCTCTAAGAGTGTACTTGTCCGGGGTTTGCGAGTTATCTGCGTACTCTTGATTGGACGCCTGCAGACACGTGTTCGACTCAATGTCTTGACTAATACCACCTCCTCATCTGACTCGCCTTTCAAAATGAGGACTGTTTCCCACACCGCCTCGGTGGTGTTGCAATTGCCGTGGCCGGTCGTCTTGTCACCAAGAACTGCTACTCTGTTTCCAGTGAAATCGGGTGAACTGTCCAAGTTCATCATGCAATGATCCGTGACACGCATGTTGTCGTCTAGGAGTATTATTTGATTAGAGTAGTCGGGATGCCAAGTAAATAGAGTCTGCTCAGATGCGCAATTTTTCGTCCTCGAACATGATATCACCAGATTTGTACACTTGTCCACGAGCCATGCAGCTAGGCTGTCTCTCGGGGTAATCATCCATATAAGTACGTCCTTCTACATAGCTTGATAATTTGAACACTGGCTGGTCAGATTGCGAGGCGCATGCTCGTCGACCAGTACTGTGGGTGCTGGCGATGGCTGGTAGGATTAGTGCTGCAACTGTTGTAGTTTTCATGTTTTAAATGTGAGCTTGATTGTATTTGTGCTATGTACATGCTACGAACCAGTCCCTTTTATACAGATTTTTGAGAATCCGCTACACACCAGATCAACTTCCTTCCCATATAAAAAAACTTCATTTTTTTAGAGCAAAATTTAAAAACCGTTATGTATTTTTAATTTTTTAAAGTTGCCTTTTTTCAGATTTTAAAAACAAAAAAATCTATTTGGGGGTTCTTGTTAAAATAAATATAAAATAAATATATATCTTTGGCGGTTGGCCTCGTAGGCTCGGACCCTCGGTTGTCACCTGTGGCCTATAAACGGTCCAAACCTCATAACGTTTGGCGTCATCTATATAAAAGTTAACCTTTTAACGTGTAACAGATTATGTTTTAGCGTTGGAACGTATTTTGGTAAATTTTGACCTGTATATTGTGACCTGGATATGCATCTTTTATTAAACGTTTGGTCTCAATTTTTTTATTTGAATGAGTCTACAGGACAAATTTCTGGGTGTATATGCCCATTGCCTGACCTAGAATATAACCTTACTACTATAGAACGGGACATTGAAAAGGAAGTATACGTTTGATTTCTAACGTTTAACGGATCATTTATTTGCCATAGCAACTTACGATATGTCATATGAGGTTAGCTTGTGGCAGTCTGGTTGCATGCCTGCTTCATTGCAACTCCGCATCACTCATCAGTTATCAGTGCATCTGAACATAAATAAATAGCCTAAAAAAGGCTAAGATCTGAAGAATCGGGGTTTTTAGAAATATGTGATATTGTAGAATAAATACCAAGAGACCTCACTGATACTCTCACAGACTCTCAGAGGCACAGAGCGACAGTTTTATTTTTTAAAACTAATAAACTTACACTGTGACGTGAATATTGAAAAATAATTATGGGCCAATTGGCCAAGGGTCCTAACTTCTTTGACTTTTTACTATCTCAAGTTCTCAAAACTGAAACTTGTTACATACGAGTTGCTGCTCGAATTCTCAAAGAACGGAACCATTGTAGATTTTCAATTTACCCTCTATAATACTATTAGATTATTAGTTTATAACCCTCTATTGCAGTAAAGAAGCCAACAACTCTGAATCGCTCTTTTTCTTTGTAATATGTATACAAACTTTGTTGCAATGAACAGTATGTAGAGTGTATATCTCATACTGTAGATCTTGAGTGAAGACCGAGTGACATAGAGGTTTCTCCAGAGAGAGAGTAGAGAGGCCGACCATTGACTAGTACCCCATAATTGTGAATGGACTGTGCAATGTGTGAGTGTATGTAAATAGCGACCGGCCCGTCGACTACTGATCAGCACTTCAAAAGTGACAACCAGCAGACGCTTGACAAGCGCGCACTATACAAATGCGATTCCGTCTACCCGTACCATCACGATGTAATCGTGCTGTCTCTCTTTCGTTTTTTAGAGTGTTGAATTTGTTCGCTTGTTCAATATTCAAAGCATCTAGTACGTATCATGATTGTTATAGAATTGTTTGATATTACTTAAGCACTCCACGACAAGTATATATTATGTATAAGTTGGGACCACAGATTGACACGATTTTTACTTAGACTGAATCTAATAGCAATGATGAGTAACAATTAGCACACGTAAACACAGACCGAAATATTCTAGATGGGTAAGTGACGATCACTCACATTGCAAAAAGACCGACATCAATGTGCTCTTTATCAATTATGTATAATACACAGGCTTGCACACACAGTCATATAATTGTGCTAGGCTAGTCGCAAATGCTCACATATTATTTTGAAACACTAATAAATGCGTGAGTCCTCGGGACACAACAAACATGAACTTTAATAACTTTCGCGATGGCTAGTCGCAAATGCTCACAATAGGCTAGTCGCAAATGCTCACATATTTTTTTGACACAAGCAGGGACACACCAAACAAGACCTCTGATAAATTTCGCGATAGCATTTCTACTATACGTCAGTCTTGACAGAATTCACAGGGATAGCAGTTTACAGCGCGTGTCACTTCCAATCCTATCTCGTGTCCCCGCGGCACAATTAAGACATGTAAGTGAGTATATCACCTGCGGGTTGCAGCCTGTAAGGCAGACAAAGTAAAAACACTTTGATTGTACACAATGACAATACTGAAGAATAAATATCTAGAAACATTTTATGTGGAATTTTTCTTTCTTTCTGTTGTTTTTAACCGACTCTGAGTCTCCCAGAGTCCTAACCATCGAGTCACCAACGAGTCAACGAGTAACGACTGAGAAGGAAGATGGATAATTCATCATAGATTTATGAATGTATTTATTTTTAGAATGATTGTGATTCGCACAGAATGTTGATCTCCTATCTTTTTTATCATAATTCATAAAGTCAATTGTCAGGTGTGATTGTTCTTTATAATAAAAGAAACGAAATATCATAACTGATATTTAGGGGTTTAAATATTTCATTTCTAAATATTTGGGCGTCAAGCCGTCAACACCGCAACGGCGCACCGGCCGTTTGGGTTTTTTCGCGTTCGATATCTTCAGTTTTTTATAAAAAAAC